ATATACAATATAATGAAAAGTAAATATTTATTAAAAAAGAAAGAAAAAGTAGTGGAAACGTTGTAGACCATATGGTTTGGTAAAGATGTTGCATATTTGTAAAACTCTTTTGGCTTTATTAGTTGCAGCTGCTGATGTTACTACTTTTTGACGAAATTCATTATAGCAGCCGGCACACCTACGTCTAGTAATTTTTCCATCTTTTCTATCCAGCGGTTTAAGAAAATGCTGTGCTTGTGACGGCGTAGGTATCTAGACAACGTTTATGCCCTAAATATTTTTCACAATACTCATTTGGGTCTGCAAAAATGTACATTTATTTTGCGGGTTTAATTTATTGAACAACTATACAGTATTATACTGTATTTATGAGAACAATTATACTGTATTTATGAGACTCACTCCAAACAGAACATCGACATATGTACATACATTATGTACATATTACCATGCGGTCCATATGTATGGAATAACTTCATTTTTAGCGTTATTATGTACTATGTGAAAAAACTTCAAACAGGTCGATTTTTATTCTTAAATTGACAATTTATAATATAAAAATATTATCCCCTTCCTCCCTCACCCTCTTTGAAATATAAGCACCCCCTCGAAAATTTTAAATAACACAGGGGGTCGTGTGACACCTTGTTAAAGAGGGATTTTACAGCAATATACCGTTTTTAAAGTTTGGTGCAATCATAACTGAGAAAAGTGATTTTTAAGATGTAAAATTTTGATAATGTCTCTAACACAAAACATTAGGTTGAATGATAATAATAATTTCACATAATATTTAGAATGTATTTTTCATTGTACTTTACAGTTAAATTAAATGTTAAAAATGACCACCATTCACTTCTTGACAATAATAACCGAGGCGATTTTGGAATTCTTGTTCAACATTTTTATGACCTCGGGGGGTATTTTGTTAATTTCTTCAGTTATCCTAACTTTTAAATCAGCAATATTGCCTGGTCTACAAATAACCAGGTATTTTCATATCTTTTCTGCTAAACATTATTGAAATTAATAAAATATTAGTAAAAATGTCAAGTAAACAATTGATATGAATCTAGTAGGCTACTGTCAGTTAAGTATTTAAAGTTATTAAAAGACGTCAGTATAATATTTGTGTGCGTATGAAATTTAATTGTGGCTTATTTGTCCGAGACTCAAACAATAGATATTTTAATTATGATTGGTTGTGGTAATAAAACAAGAACTTAAAAGTAAGTTTGTGAAATGTTTAATAATACATAACAAGTGTGGCAGTATACAGTTCGCAAAATTAAAAAGAAGTTTCGTTATACTGGACATGTAAAAAATATTGAAAAACCAGGTAGAAATGTTAAATTTACTAATGAAAAAAAGTTGGATGTACTTCTAGAGATCGAGAAAAATCCGCCATAAGGTAACTCGAGAACTTGCCGCCGTCAATGATGTAAGTAAATAATCTATTTTGAGAGTTTTGCATAAAGAAAAATACCACCTTTACAAAGTTCAGTTGGTTCAGAAGTTAAATGATGACACCGACAGAAGGCAAAAATTCTATGAAATGATGATGGACAGAATGACACGTCTAATATTAATTTTAATACTACCACTTCTGTTAATATTCCTAACAATATCAATGTAAATAATAATTGTTATAATTATGTTATTAATATTCATACGTAGATTTTTCTAATGTTGAATTCACGAGAGTAACTTTAACGTGTTATAAAAGTTCATAAGTAAAGTTGATTAATATATTCTTTGTAACATACAAATAGGCTGAACTAAAAATATTGTACGTAACACGATCCACAAGTAATTTTACGAGACTCGCAGGATTCCAGGACTCGTCTACGGCTCGCCCTGGACACTTCCTACTCATCTCGTAAAATATCACTTTCGGAATTTGTTACGTAAATTACTATTTCATGTGCTAGTATTTTATTGTTTTCTTCTTGGATATATCTCTGAAAAATATCGAACTTAGTATTGAAGTTCGTTTCGGTTCGTAAATGCCCTTTGTCCACTTCTCATCGATCGATGATGATAGGGTTAATAAATGTTGAAGTTGTGGAGTAAAGGTAATGATTTATTGACAGCAACTCGTAATTACACAATATGGTGTTCGTATGGTAACTACTCAATATTGACTGTGTTCATTTGAACTCAAATCCCCCAATTTATAATCTCACACATAATAGATACATAAGCACCTTAGGTCATTGCTTCGTTCATATCACACCACCTAACTTTTGCTTATAATACAATTTAATCTACGCCTTAATTGCGACACTTAGGAAGTTCAATTAGAAAATATTATTATTCGGCAATTTATTTAGTTGTAGGTAAATGAACTAATTATTAAATTATCATACGATATGGTTTTGCAATATATATAATGCAAACTTATACACGGTGAAACTATAAAAGATTAAGAAGTTAAGAATAATGTGAGATAACAAATTAAGGGGTTAATTTGTGATTGAACATATTGGCCACTATATAAAACAAACAGACGAAAATATTTAAACACATATAAAATATAAATAATAATAATAATAATAAACATAACACTAATTTACTAGGTTTTTGAATTATTATCTCACCCGAGCAGTGCTACCTATAATTTGATTATTTAAAATTCATGTTTCAGCTAAACTATCTAATTCAAATCTAAGCTCATTAAGTGAAATTGACCTAGGAGGGGCTTTCTTTAAAGTACTACCTAAATTTGGTTGTGATGAAGTATGTCTTCGAGGCGCTGGATGGGATTGGATGTAAGAACCTTGATGCCTTTGTTTTCTGGCTCTCTTGGAGTTTCGAAAATATCTGACTACCTTCCACGTAATGGCAATCAATATAACAATGAATAAAGTGACTAGTCCCGTGCTTAAATGAGGAATCCACTGATAGTTAGCAATGGTTTTCCACGTGTGTTCTGATATATCTTGGTCAAACGGCTCTTCCTCAAGTATAATATTTGGCAACTCATCTCCCCGAATATCTATATTATGTTTGGGAATGTTGTTCTGCATTATGATTGGCCTCTGCATAAGCTCTGCAATGGGAGTGACGGGAGTCTTTAAGTAGATTCCAATTGCTGTTTCCAATAAGTTACTGAATGTGAGTAACGTTATGTTTCGAGTCTGAGCAACGCATTTTGGTGACAGTTTTATAAAACTCGTTAGATCGATTATGTGTTTAGATCGAGAACCATCGCACATTATAGCTAAATTTATAGCGTATGGTGAAATGACTAACCACAGATTCGGTGTGCTCATTTTCAACCAACTGGCTTCCTTTATCGTGTATTCTATTATATTGCAAGTGGTATTGGTCGTTCTATCATATAATTCATTTAAGATACAGTTTGGCTGAGTATCCATATTAATGATTCCCATTGGTGAACATGCCAACTCTCCTTTGTTTAATTCTATACACCTTCCTTTTTCTTCATATGTCACTTCAAAATAATGTAAGTTATTGTAATCTACTGCAAGTAGATTCCTTGGGACCAACAACGAGCGCACAACACCACCTCTCACCGACAACGGAAGAGCTGTGACTCTCAGTAGGTTGTATCTAGTGTTGTCAATTATTAGGAAATAGCCAATAATGACGATGTTTCCTTTTTCATTTTGTACGACCGTATCTATTATTGGTTGCCTTCTTATATCTACTCCTTGTGAAAGGAACCTTGTAGCATTCGAAATGATTGACTCTATTTGTCCAGGTTTTATAATGTCTATGAAGTGTCCATGATTGTAATGAAGATTTAATATTTTTTCGTATGTGTTCGAACATTCTTTTGCATATTCCATTGCACGGTTATAAGTCGTTTTCACTTTAAGTCACATGTACTCCTTCTCTAATGTATCAGCTCTATATGAGACATCACTTAGCCCCTTAGACATTTCCCTAGTTCCGTTTATCAGTGCTTCTCGGAACCTATTTAGATGTCCGTTTATTCTTTCTTCTGTAGAGTTAATCGAGGCTATTGTTTGTAACATCAGCTTCGTCTGATGTTTTGAATTTTTTATTAGATCCTTCTGATTTTCGTCCAAGGAATCTATGTCCCTGTATACTTCATCATTTACCCCAAATACTGATGTGAGGACTGTTCCTAGAAAACCCCTCTTCGGCCTTCTTTTGAATTAAGATCTAAAGCTCGACTTATCATTTTTGCTCGTTTTTGTTCCTCTTTTAGCTGGCTCGATAGTGAATCACAATTTATTATATTGAATATATTGCTTGTCTTACACATATCTTCCACCGTTTTTACCATTGAATCTATCGTTTGTTCACCATCTAAAATTTTTTTCTTTTCTAGATAAGTTTTTATTCTAAATATCCCTCGATCTATGTATACATCGCTTAGATGCTCTAAATATAATCCGGGGGACGGGGTATAAATTTTGTACAAATCTGCATTTGATGGCTTTAAAAATACTAAAAATAGGATGCAAAACATAAATTTTCTCCACATACTACGTGCTCTATTTGTCTTTCGTGACTTTGGCTCTCGTACTATTGGTATTAACTTGTGTATAGGACGAGTAGTTACTTTTCCGTTCGCCTTTTGAACTATTGCGACTCTTGTTAAACCTTTAGCTCCGGGATGTGTTTCGATTATCTTCGCTAGTGGCCAGTTCCCCGGCGAGGTGTCATCCTCCTTTATAATCACCACTTCTTCTTTTTCTAGGTTTGTAACGGGTTTTTGCCACTTATATCGCTGTTGTAAATTTGACAAGTAGTCATGTCTCCAACTGTTCCAAAAATCTCTTTTTTACTTTTTCTAGCAAACCATTTCAGTGTTTTATCGTTATTATTTTGCTTTATCGTTGGTTTTCGTATGCGTTATACATTTTTCTTTCTTTCTTTTTGGTGTCAAAATTATTTTATAGGATTTTACTTTTAGTGATTTATCTTTTTGAGATATATCATTACTTTTTGTAGCATAATACTTTCAGATGTTTCAATTTATTTACAAATATAAATTAAGTTTTAAGAAACAGAGTATAATTTATTATCAAAAATAAAAATAAAACTAGGTAACAAATAAAATACTATCTTATAACATAAAATAAAAAAAACACAAGTCTTTTGGATTATTAGTAATCATCATTTTATTTTAACGGGCTAAGCTGATACCGTAAACCCGTTTCTTCATCTAAAACAATTCCTTCGTCAGCATCAAATACTAAAGATTCTCCAAAATTTTTCGATACTCGTCTACTCTTCTCTCTAGATTGCTCCCTTTTTCCTCTATTATCATTCACGGCTCTGTAGTTACCACCATGTCTTTGGGTATTTCTATCTAAGGATAGCGATCTGGCTTTATCATTAATAAATTCTACGTCATCTAGTAAGGCAGGTTCTCTTTTGCCTCTTTGGTTTTCTGATAATGAAGATATGATAGGTTCATTTTTGGATTCATCTTCATACTCAGCGTATTCTTCATTTTGCTGGCTTTCGTCTCCTTCACCATCGTGACCATGACCGGCGTGGTTGTAGTCCCAGTAGTGTTCCCCATATCCTCCATGTTTATCGCCCCATCTTACCTAATAAAATATTTATATGAGAAAATTTGACCTGTTTTTAAAATTATGGACAGTAGAAAATCCAGAATATTTGAGTTTACATTTGTTACATAGATAAACAACAAATACATTTTTCTGTCAAGTAAAAATATGGTTATTATTACGGAAACACTGAGTAATATCAAAACTTTTTACAGATTACTGGGAATTATATTTCATATTAATGAAAATTTATAAAAACGGAAATATAATGGCGTCATGATCAAAAACTTGTGAATAATAGAGTGAATAATAAAAACCTAGTGAAACTAAAAATGTAAGTATATCACTGTTGATGATAAGCTTTGGAGATCTTATACTCAATAACGACATAAGATGTTGTTTGGGCATATAAAACATAAAAATAAAAAAAAAATTAGGCAATTAAAGCAGATGAAGTGAAATGTTTAAAACAAGCCTTTAATTTAAGAATAATACAACTCATAACAAGTACTAACAGAACAAAGTAACAAAAAGATTTAATGAATATTACTCAACAAAATGGATGAATTAATAAGGTGATTTAGCACGTGAATCATTTGATAATCCCTAAAACATTATTTTGGGAAAGGCTCGATGGTAGAAGGTTAGATGGTCGCCCAATAAAACGATGAAAGGATGCAACAATAACCGATCTACTCCAAATCGGAGTACAACAATTGAAGATAATTGCAAAAGACCGACAACCGTGGAGGTAAAAATAATAAACGCTGCCAAGACTCACCTAGAGTTATAGAGTCGATGATGATGTTAATCAGTTGCGTATAATAAAAATATTAATAGGAAGGACTAGAGAATATCACAAGCACTATTGATTTTATAAACCTTTACGATCTAGTTCTTATAGATATAAAGAGCCTTTACTAACTCTAAGTCATAAAGGATACCCCCGTTAAGATAGCCAAAATGCCCTCACTCTCAGAATTCAATTAAAAAAATTTACAATAAAGTAAAAACCTCTTTTTGTAAAATGGTATAAAATTAAATTTTTTTAAAAATTATTTAAAATGAATTTATAAATTTTCAAATGGTTTTCGATCTTATCAGAATATTAGTAGTGAAAAACGTTTATAAAGTAGTTGGACACATAATAAGGTCAGATGACCCTTAAATTACATAATTTGAGTAACAAACATTATAATTTTTAAGACAGTACGTCGATAATAAAGGATTACATTTTTGTAAGGAAACGTACAATTTCTCAGCTCGAAAAAGAAAACCTTGCGCACTGTTGGTAACAACCAAGAGTTGGTTGTCATCTTTTAGGGCGTAATGTTCGTTACTCAAATTATTTAATTTAAAGGTCATCCGACCTTCTTATGTGGCTAGTTCCAACTACTTTATATACGTTTTTCAATGATGATGATCTGACAAGATTTAAATCGTTTTGAAAATTTAAAAATTTGTTTTAAATTTAAAATTAAATTTGAAATTTTAATTTTTTTAATTTTTTTACGTTTTATGTGATAATAGTATATATATATATATATATATATATATATATATATATATATATATATACATATATATATATATATATATATATATATATATATATATATAATAAGTAATATTAAAATTTCTATTAATTTTTTTATTTTAATTTCGGTGGGTTGCATTCAATTTAAAAATTTTAACCCAAAAAAATAATAAATAAATAAAAACAAAAAAATGATGTTTTTGGAAGTGTGTCGTTAGGAGTTGCGGGCTAAAATTTTGCTAAGTCTTATTTTTTATTCATATAATACTTAAAAAATGAACAAAATTGATTCAGGTCGTAGCAAGTTTAAAAAATATCACTGATCTCTTAAAATCTACCAAAACGTGTCGTAGCAAGTTTAAAAAATATCACTGATCTCTTAAAATCTACCAAAACCCTTTAAAAACTTTAAAAAACATAGTTTTTCAGTGATTTAAAGGATCCAATTTTTGAATGTTTGAAAAGACTCAGTTACTTCAAATTACATAAAAATTATAATAAAAAAAGGCATTTTTGGAAAAAAATTGAATTCTGGGAGTAAGGGCATTTTGCTTAATCTCAATCTTAATCTTAATGGGGGTACCCTTTGAGCTATAATAAACTCGTATAACATATTCTGGATTTTTTACATATTAGCTTAACCAATTTCTATGATTTCTTAAATAGTGTTAATATATACAAGTGTTTTATCATTCATTAACTGTTATTGTAGTCAATAGAAAATAAATAAACTGCGATACTAAAGTTGTTAGTGCCTTAAGAAAAAAACTAAAAACTACTTATCCAGATTAAAGTAAGGTAGCCAAAAATAGAGAAAATTAAAACGTGCAAGTTGTTTCAGTAATGACGCTTTATTCAAGGCATGAAAAAATTAACAACTAAACGTCAAATTTAAGGTATATTTCCGATTTTTGTGCTTTGCTTTTTAGTAATCCTTTATAATTATAAAAATATTTAGTTACAACAAACTAAAAAAACAAACTAAATCCAAAAAAAGATAAGTAGAGACCTAAGAATGAATTTATTGGATTATGGTGTTGATTTGAGTACCTCAACTATATGAACAAGGCTTCTAGAAGTTGAGTGAAAGGCAAGAAAAGTGAAGAAAAAACAATATGTAACACAGAAAATAATGAAAAACCGTTTAATATGTTGACTAATGGCTGGGGATGCCCTGGCATGTCTCCTATTTAGTATCGCCGTGGAAAAGGCAGCCTGGGCCAAACGAATTAGAGACTGCGGTATTATTATTTACAATAGATCGATACAAATTTAAGAGTATACTAATTACATTGACATATTAGGGCGTAGCAAGCGAAATTTTCAGCAATAGTAACGTGAACACAATTTCACATACCTTGGCTCGCTAGTGATAACTACAAAGAAAATAAGCGAAGAAATTAAAGTACCTACAAATAAATCTTACGAACAGGTCTTAATATAAACTCCAAATAGAATTACACTCAAGAAACATACAAAAAACAAATAAACTTATTAAATAAAATAATGCTGAGGTCGGTCCTCATGTATAGGGCGAAAACATGGATTAAGTTAAAAAATAAATGTAAAGATTTATAGTTTGACGGTTTGTTGCATTAGCATGTACTTTTACATTAACACAAAGTAAATTACTTTTTCTTATTATTCAGCTTTAGTATAATGTATAAATAATAAATTTTATTAAACGAAAATTAAACAAAAATTGGTTCACGTTTGAAACGCGATCGTTTAGCAGAAACGCCAGAGAATCCTCAATGAAAAATTCTGATGTATTTATTTCTCCTGGTTCCATTAGGAATTTTAATTTTAAGTCTATGGACAGACGGAGTATGGTGCGTTCTGTAGTGCTCTTTACGGTCTATATTTTGACTGTACCACTGATAAACCCCTCTGCGAAATCTCTGAAAGGAATTTATTCATTTAAACATGTATCTCTCTGTTGTTTAACCTTATTCTATAAAAATGTATAAATAAAAATTTAGATAAAATATTGAATTGATTTTCCAAATGAACAAGCGAATTGATATTAGAAAATCGTTACTTTATATACTTTTAACTTATTATCTACAGTGACAAAATATTTAAGAATGATAATTTTAATATTAATTGTTTAGCCTAAATTATTTGTAAGAACGTCGGTATGCCTCTTAATGTCTCCTCTAAAGTATTTTCCAAACTATAAAACTTAAGTTCTTCATTTTTTGCATATCTAAAGTAAGGTATGTTTTTATAATTTTTATGGTATTTTAGTGACATCGGTAGCGGTTGTGAAAAATGGCGGACAGGCGACAATTTGTAAAATCATTTTAAATTGGATCATATGGCGAGTACGTTTCAGTGCATATAGATCACCACTAATAATTTCATATTCTTCAAATTTTATGGAAAGTATTCACCCTGTTAAGGATAAGTGGCGGTGCATATGTGGTGACAGTGAGCGTATTTTTTTTATAATTAAATGTCAATATTGCATGTAGCCAATGATGTAATATACTAAGCATGGAACAATTTAATATTTTTATATGTAGCTGATCAACGATGGAATTGACGTCACAATATCAGCTAAAGTGTCCGACGTGAATTTGACGATGATTGACGTGAATATAGCTATCCTCGATATATCAGAAGGTTGGCCGAGATGTTAGAGAAACACTCTTTTGACTTTTTGTCAAGCTTTCGGAATTATTTTATTCCTTCTTCAGGAGGTTTGGTGTGTTTTGACTGTGATACATAGAGAATTGAAAGTAAAAAACAATCTTATTAAAAAGTAATTAGTTGTTCTTATTATTGTATTTGTTTTCAAGAAACAAGAAGTTCATATTGGGGAGTTTTAATTTTAATTATTAAATCTGTCCGTGTATGCAACCAGTTATGCATACAAGAATATGTAAAGGTAGTTATTTATTTTATTATCGATGATTTTCAATATAACTGATAACAATAAACAGACTTTTTATTTATGCAATATGTACTAGATTTTATGAAACACATTTCCAAGAAAACACGTTTTGTATGTTTTTTTCTTTTGCCAAAATACAGGAATCCTCGTAATTGAATTCATGTTTCCGAGTAATTGCATGTTCTGCAAGTGCACATGCATGTATTTGGTTGGTTTTTATGTCACTGCGATGTGAGGTCACCCTACTGTGGAAATTACGAGATGATTCTCCGATGTATATTTTGTTGCATTTAGCACACGGTATAGAATAAACAACATTCGATGACTCCTGTATTGTGAAAGGGTCCTTTGTCTTTGTGATATTTTTTAAATATTTACACATTTTTTATATATATTACAGTGTCCTGAAGAAGGAATAAAATAATTCCAAAAGCTTGACAAAAAGTCAAAAGAGTGTTTCTCTAACATCTCGGCCAACCTTCTGACTACAGCCCTAATAAACTGGTGTTTTTGTTTATATCGCCAAATATATACCTAAACAAAATATATATTTATATAGAGTCACTAATATCCTTTATTTCTTTGTCATTCTTTTTTTATTCA